TGAGAGCGCGGCGAAAATGGGCGGGTTAGAGTACGGTCGCACGCGTGCTGGCATTGGCCCAACACCGCCCCCTACGCTATACTTTTGATTCATCCTCTCTAATCGTTCTAACGCGCTTTAACAATGTACTAAACCTTATATCCTTCAAATCAAAACTGTTTCGCTTCATTATCCAATGTTCTTTGACAAATATGTGTCGTGAGCTTAAGCAGTCTGTTAGATGATGATGATGCGGCGCCAGGATTATGTTAATGAGTTGGATCGAAATTCATTAAGAACACAGAGTTGTTAGCTAAATCATGTGTACATGTAGAAGATGACGACGACGACAGAGTCAGACGGAGCAATGTGCTACAATGAGTGTTCGCCCCTTCGCCCCGCGCAACACTACGCCTGATTAGGTCTTTCACTTCAGTAGAATCATTTGATTTCACGCGTGGAATGAGAGCAACTCAGCTGCAAGAGACTGAGTCTCGCCACCCTCCTCGTCCAGTACTAATCCATTCCGTCTCCCTCCATGAAACAACTTCTCCGTTCTGAGGGCTTTTGTCCGATTATGTTACACTGCATATTTTGCTTCAGGTACAATTACTACATAACTTCTAGGTAATTAAAGGAGCTATCAGATAATTCAGAAGCTGTGGAGACGCATTTATTGAACGAAATCAAACTGTTTGTGTATTTTGGAAATCATTGTCCGTTATTTCAGGAATCTCATTGTCGCACTGGAGCGCTCAACGTCACTGAACTTCTATGACGATCGACATCAAACTGAAAATGCCATCTGCAGGTAGAGGTTGGTGGCAAGTTGCCATCTTTTTGCTGTTTTCTGCACAAATACACATCCGCACAAATTGGGGATAGTTTGTTACTGGAGAGCGCATTGAGCGCTTGCTGTTTATGGCCAGCCATTTCTTAGCCAATACTCAGTGTTTTCCATTTTGACATCTCAGTAAGCATCGAAATTCACCACAACGCACAGCACACTGCTATCGTTTATCTTTGAAATTTGCATTTTCCCGTCTTGTTTCTCTCTTTTTTTTCGTTCATCTGGTGAACCTATTGCTCGTCTTTCATCATTTTGAATTTAAATTGTATTCATACTTGGATTTTGCCTTCTTCTTGCAATTATCTTGCAGCATATCTATTGTTATAGGGAAAGTCGAGGTAGTTCTTATATCCGAGGGTGAATTTCGTCGTTTGTGCGTAATCACATGCTACCGTATCAGCGCCACGAGTGTCAACTGCAGATAGCGCGCGTTTGAATTGCATCGTCGACACATCCAGTTATCTCATTGTGCCACCCTCATCGATCCATTTCTACGAAATTATGAATAATGAGAGGTGTGTCGCATGCATTACATGGGCATGCCGAGCTGCTTGTTGCCGACGCTCTCGTGGATCCAATTTAGGCAATGCCAGGAATTCTGCACATACCTTTGCTTTACTACGAATTTGTCTATGCGCTGATTTTGAGGGAGGGAGAGGGAATGCGGGCAGTTCTGATGTTGAAAGCGCGCGTCAGCAGCGACCTCAACCAGGGATATCCCATAAAAGTGAACGGTTATTGTTGCAGACGAGGCCGAACAGATCGTCTCTTTCAGGTAACGGCGCAAAAGCAGGGTCGAAGATGAAGTTTCAAACGGTAACTTTGGGCTATGCGAGGGGTTCGCAGAGAAATCTCAGAAAGATCTTTTCAAATTGAAAAAAGTTCTTACTATATTTTTGTTAATACTATTCTCGCTTTCTAATCTTACTGTGTTAGTTGGTCTTTCGTCAATGCTCGACTTGTTTCGAGGTGAATAATAGTTCTTTCGAGGGCGACCGATTTCACACCTACATGCGCACATTCACTCAGGAAACACCGCTGGGCATTATAGCGAAGCGCTCCTTGAACAATTGTGGTGTAGTTTGCGACACCTGTAAATTGCAAACTCGCCACTGATCCATGGGGTTCGTGGGTGCTTCAACCAAAGGTTCAGGGCTCTTTGCCAAGTGACTCAAAGATTCCTATCAAGTACGCAAATGTTGGCCTACTTACGTCGATTCCAAGAGTTGCGCAAGCTTAGCGCTCCTGAAAAAGAGCCATCGCATGACGCCCCGTGGTGAATTTGACGTACGTTGTCCAGCACCCATATGGGCCCCGAGCTTGGT